TATACTACTTTAAAAGCGATTTAATTCTCAACCTACAACGGAACAGATTTGGCTCAGATTTTCAAGTGGGACTTCTTTATCGACATTCTGCAATGGGATTGCCTGCAACAAAGACAATATCACATGATAACCACAGTAAATTATTTGATGTATAATAATAAAGGCAAATCCACGATAGTGAAGGAGTATAGCTGAGAATTTTGAAACTAAATTTGAATAAATATTGATTTGTACTTAGTTTAAACCGGTCCCCCCAATCAGTAATCTATAGTCAATTAAATTTTCTGTATCTAATTTATTAATTTGCTTTTTATGATTTTAGTGAGAATTAGTTTAATATTCACATTGCCTATTACTTGTAGGTAAAAGCGAGTAAACACTACAATACCCACGACGCGAAGTAAAAACATGGAAGACTGGTGAGAGTGAAGATCTATTCACCCCAAAAACATGACAATCATAGTCAAAAGCCAACTGATTTATATAGTGATTGAACAGCAATTTTGATTACTATTTAGAAAGAAGTCACATTTATGAGAAGATAACAAGATCGCATGCTCCACATCATACTAAACATAGTGGGTTAAAAATATATTTGCCTTTTCATCCTGTCATATCATATAGTGAATATGCTAGCAACCTAATATTTTGTCATATTACAACTACTGATTATTTACACAGATATATCTAAATTTAGACATCATTAGGGATAAAACGATATCAGTTTATTTTCAGTTATTTTTTCAAACGACAAACAACAGGTTCTATCATCAGCAAGAAAGTGTATACATTTGACTAACCAGGTATTACGGCTTAATGCATTCCGTTTAACATGTAAATTATGTATAACCAGTTTAATTCGATGATCGTTTATATTAAGCTATTTTAATTCAACTTCAATTATTCAGAGATACTCATCAGTTTGATGATAGATTTTTAAGTTTTGTAGCCAAACTACGGTATATTGTCATTAGTAATCATGAAATTGTGAAACCTTTAATAATATGGCGTAATATGTTTAATTTTATTGGTGAAATCATATTCAGTAGGTCAGCGTCTGTCAGGAAAAGGAGATAAATCGTTACATCCCCATTATTATTATTTTGTCACTGTTATCATTCAGACATTACCTTTTAAAGTAAATAATGCTACTATTGTAACGCTCAAAAGACCAAGTTTGCTTATAAATATCAACTTAATTTCAGAAAACAGGTTTGGTTTTTAAGTAAAAATCTTGAAAGATAATTCAATCAGTCAACTCGATATCTATACGTTAAAAAAATAAGTATAATCACATAAGTTTTTTCTCTGAAAGTGTTTATATATTTTAAAATTAACTAATACGCCTACTATGAGAGAACAAATCAGCTCCCATTTGAAGAGGAGATTGGAAAACGACACTAGAGGTGGATAACGCATAGATTGCGAAAATCAACAAACTACACTAGGCAGCAAGCGCTCACTCGGAATCCTGAAGGGAAATAGTAAAGAGGAAGACCAAAGAACACACTGCGTCGAGAATTGGAGGCAGACATCAAGAGAATGAATAGCAAGTGGAATCAACTGGGGAGTATTAACTAGAACAGAGTTGGATGTACAATGCTGGTTGGTGGCCTATGCTCCTCCATGAGGAGTAACAGGCGTAAGTAAGTAAGTAAGTGATTAAGTAAGTAAGTAAGTAAACAAGTAGGTAAGTAAGAAATGCATCTCAGTAACAATTGCTTAAACTATTCGACAGTTGAAATTTCATTATATGGTACAGTTTTCCATAAGCGTTTCTCAATACCTGGAATTTAAGTATCTTATTAACCAAAGTATTGGGATATGTTAAAATGTGCATCACAATAAAGTTTTGAATAATTGCAAAGTGATTGTGATAATTTTACTTACATTTTTAATGTCTGAATACAAATTGAAAACACCTTTTGCCAATTCTTCCTTATTTTCCACCACCTCAAAATTCTCTAGTAACTTGAAAATTTGTTCTTCTGTTCCTTCTCTATTGTTAACCAACTAGTTATTAGTTATGGAAAAGGTTAAGTACACAAGTTCCCGATTTCATCATATCACAAGTACATATGAATCAGAAATGAGGATAAGTATGATAGTGATAAACAAAATATTATTCATTGGGATATAAGAAAAAAAATTTTTATTATTGACTTCTTATCCGATATTCAGTTTATTTGAAACTAACATGTCTAACCTTGGGATAGAATTGTTATCAAAATGGGAGTTTGTGGAGATTGCAGTAATTTTTTTATTCGAATTCATGAGTCGATTTGCGCTAGAACACCGTTGAAAACCCGAAAGTACTGGACTGCCATTTCGTTTTAATATGGGACTCCTCAACCGTATGCATCCACGATCCTGCACCAACAGAATCCGGACTCAAGACCTTCGGTCTCACACGTGAACGCTTAACCTCTAGACCACTGAGCCGACCGGCATCCAACAGTATTAATGTATAACTTCAATCTATTCATGATCTTGCTTAACCCTTCATCTGTTGTCTGAGGTGGATGTCTGTCTCTACCCTACATGAATTGGACTCCATTGGTTACGGCTTCTTACTGGGACTTCAGGAAATCCATCTTGAAGTTAGTCACTAGGGAGCACATAATGATTGTTTGTGAAGGTCCTGGGTTCGATTCTCACATGTGGGCTCATGGTTGCGCAATTCTTGGGATAGAATATCGATCACACCTTTATGCAATTTTTTAACCTTGAGGGAAGATAGACTACATTTTTATTAACTTTAATATGTATTTAAACGATGCACTTTTATAGAATATAATATGACACGTTTTCTAGTCTTCAACAATCTATATATGTGTATAGATAGATGGTTACTGAAATACATTGTTGTCCCAACGCATGTGTTATTATTAGTGATTAAGGTATTACACATGAAATATATTACAGGTTATTGATGTAAATAAATAAATTTTCAATTACATGCAGTTTTTTTGGAAGTTTTATCCTAATTAACGTTGTCAATGTAGACTCTTTTAGTCAATAAACATGTACTTTATTCACTGGAACAGTGTAGAAGTAAATGAACCACGATTAATCAATGTAATAGATGGTTTTAACTGACTTAATGAGCCTTGTAGGATTCCTGTATAGAAGATTTTAATGTTAATGTGATGATTGAGAATTCCAAAGAATTTCTAATCGACAGTCAAGTGTGTATGTTCTTTCATTTAAGTCGTTTGTAATACACACAAGATGAAGTGTGCTATGAGTGGTTGATTACGTACTGTATCCGAGTTGATGGTGGCAAAGATCTACCAAATTGACAATGATACTAACTGCTTATAATGTTTTGGTTAATTTGCAACAATTAATAAAAAGTAATCCATCATCACATTATCTACGCAGACGAATTTTCTTCTGAATTTGTCATTTTGTTATTATGACATTTGCCTTTACTTATATTTTGTCAAAAATTTCACATTGTTTAGATTAAGATACAAGAAAACAAGTAAGAAATCAGTGATATTTGTAAGCTGATGTGGTATTTCTTATTTCTATTGTGCTTGAGAATACGGCGAGACTATGATTCATGGACAAACCAATCACATATATGGGAACACGTTTTGGAATTTGACACGAATTTCATTCACTCGTTTTGTTAGATATCATCTTGGCATTATAACTGATGTCATTTCGTGATGGAAACATTAAATCTTATTCTCAACCATAATGTTCAACTGTAAATTCTAATCCTCATTCCTCACACTAATCTATGATCCTCATTAAACCGTAGTAAGTAAGTGGTCATCCCAAGGTCATTTTAGCGTTGCTCAAACGTTGTCCATATATTATAGTCTCATCGAGAATACTGTTCGATATGATTGAGATAAAAAAAGTAAGTCTAAACTGTTTTAAACTCTGGATCCACCATTATTCACAACTTTATTGATACATTCGATCAATAAAATTAACTTAACATGATGATTCGTGTTACAGATTACAATAAATCAGAAATAAACTGTCAGTGAAATTCTATTATCAATTAAAATATAATTAAATAGATTCTTATTCCTTTATCTTACTGTGTTTGAAACACTACTGGTAAATACATTAAGTGGACCTGAAGAAATCTGAAATGAAGATAAAGTTATTTGTATTGTTTAATAGAATTCAAATGAAATATTGTACATTTGTATGTTAGAGTTACTAATCGGTATTCATTCTTTCGGGAAGCGTTTACGTTAACATTGGCTGTCTATTGAGAGTTTTGATTATTGTTTACGAAGTATTTTGTTGAATTAAGAAGGTTGATTCGTAGGATGCTAAATGTTATTTTTCCAGATAGGAACACTTAGTTTTTGACTATCAGTACATGGATTTCATGCTTTGGCTAAATAGATTACAGAAAATAAGTAGTTCTAGGACAAAATTATTGGTACAGGAAACAGTGAAGTTCGTTTTCACATTTAGAATGTGCACTTATTTTTTTAAGCTTAGATTGACAACCTAAATGGAATGAAGTGATACAGATAGTAAATAAACTATAACTGAATCTGTCATTCATAATTGACAAAATTATTTATGAATTTAAGCTCAAAAATGCCCCAATACATAAAATGTATGGCGTATTACGTAATATGAGGCTTTCACTTACTACTGATGTTACTATGATCTGAATACGTTCAAAGAATCATACATACATTCAATTACCCTAATATTTATGCGAATTTTGTGAACATGTTAGAGTATACATTAACGAGAGAATAATGTCGTACTGATATAGTGCCTAATTAATAACAGTGTTTAATTTAAAAGTAATTGTATGAAGGTATTTCGAACTTGATTTAAGTCTAATAAAAAAGATTATTATAAACATCACTTTATTGTACTATGAAATGATTCTAGGTTTAGAGTCCTGATAATTCACTGGTTCGTAAGCTAGATGGAAATGATGAAAACTAAACGTTTATAATTTAGAATTATGTGTAAATAGACAAAAGTTGTTTTGTCCAATAACTCACATAAATATATGGATTTATACTTTTGTTTCTACTTTGAACTACATTTAGAGAAAATATAGTTGTTTTTCCATTTTGAAATATCAGTGGTAAAATTAAATTGGTAAGATTGAACAGTTTATTATCAGATATATTGTTGCTAATATTGAAGGAGATCTTATCAGAATACAGTGGCGATGACCATCCGTTGAAAAAAGATGAGATTAATTGAACAATTTTCTCTTTTCTTGACGATGTTTCTTCCTTAGAGTTTGTGATACAAGATCGGTAGTAATTAATAGCAGCCGTAAGATGTGATTCATTTACGTTCATTGTATTCCTCACTTAAAACGAAATAAATTAATAAATTAGTGCACTATTTTGAAACATTTTAAAATCATTATTTATTTATTACACGTTTATAATAGAATAAATCTGATTGAAATCACGAATGCCTAATTTCCAGGCCACTGAGCCGGCATCCATTGGTGTTAGTGTCTAACTTCGAGCAATTCGTGATGTTGCCTGACAGAATTACACAAACGTTTGACGATAATTAGATTGTTTGATAAACTTAGAAAATTTTGATTTAACTACTAGTGTGATCTTATTTTGTGATGAGACTATAATATATGGACGTCGTTTGAGCAACGCTAAAATGACCTTGGAATGACCACTTACTTACTACGGTTTAATGAGGATCATAGATTAGTGTGAGGAATGAGGATTAGAATTTACAGTTGAACATTATGGTTGAGAATAAGATTTAATGTTTCCATCACGAAATGACATCAGTTATAATGCCAAGATGATATCTAACAAAACGAGTGAATGAAATTCGTGTCAAATTCCAAAACCTGTTACTTTATATGTGCTTGGTTTGTCCATGAATCATAGTCTCGCCTACTTCGTATATTAAAATACAAATATAATGCTCTACTTCGACATACATGGATAAAGTCTATGTAAAATAACTGTTAGTTAGAATTTTTACATTAAAATTATGATGTACTTGAGTAGGTTTGCATCACATTATCCATGTAAAGTAGTTTGTGCTTGATAAAGATCATTTAGTAAGAAAATAATGATGGTTTTGAGATTATTTACTGAATTGAATACAAGTCTTAAAAGACATATAGTAGATTATTAAAATTATCTGTATTCAAGTTTGGATGTAATTTTTCCGTGGAAGTTTGAAAAGATTGACTTGATACAACACAAATATATAACTCTTAGGAAATGCTTTACTCTGAATATTATTGCTTAAAATTAATGCTCAGTCATAGGAAGCAATAAAGACTTCGAAAATGTGCATGACATAAATAAAAATCGGTTAAACGAGTAGTTCAGCTAATGTTTACGGATAGCTCATATTTATACTAAACACACCTTAATCACATTCTATACGATCAGTTCTGTTAGGTATACAATCGATTCACTAAATAACTAACTTGACAGTAGCAAGTTAGTCAGACTTGATTTTCAATGTCTTAATACTGAATAATGAATCAAAATGTTAGATATATTATCTACTAGATGAAAACAAACTCCGCTTGTAGCTCTTTCAGTATTACTGGTGGTCCAAAGACCGGGTAGAAGGAGAAGGGTTGGTCATAGGGTTAGCAACACTAGCTCATAGTAAACAACATTCCCAAAAAAGTGCTAGTCAGAAAAAATAATTTGGACCACTGAGACTCTATCTTAAGATTTGAAGGATCTTCATTCATAAGAACTATGAAGGATCCTAGTGAAAGACGAGATTCTTCGGAAGTTATGAGGCCGTTGCCTTTCTTAATTAGGATGAATGTAATCGGCACTGAATAAACCACTATTTTACGCTGTAAAACTGATAATTAGGTACGTGTTAAAAAATTGATTATTTTTCTTATGATTTCAGTCAATAATTTTGTATACAATCAAAATAAGTTAAAAGTTTACAGACATTAAAAACCTTGACCAAAATCATGCTTAAATGTGAAGTAATTAATGAAAAGTTACTAATTAAACTCACAAATATCTATGATAAAATTATCTGATTGTAATAAATGATCTTTAGGGAAGTCATTTGATATTTGTTTGTGGCAAACAGTCTCTTCAAAATTATCACAGTTGGTGTTAACTTCATTATCTGTGATAATACCTGTGCAATTATTATTGATAAACATATTGTCTTCATATGAAATAAAATAGAAAGAAAATAAACACTTAGTTATATTTAAGTTATAGTCAAATAACTTTCACAAAGTGAGCTAATAAAACGTTCATGTTTTTAAAAATGATAATAAACTGCCATACTTATTGAAACCTGACCAATGGAAAGAGAAACATTCGTAATAAATAAAATACATATAATAAATATTATCCGAATGGGTTATGTGGAGATTTTTTGAAATTTCACTTGTTGAAATCATAAGTCAATTGAAGCTAGACCACCATGGATTGATTGAAGTTAGACATTACCACCGTTGGATGCTGGCCCAGTGGTCTAGTTGGTTAAGCTCTTGGAGCGAGACTGATAGGTCCTGGGTTCGAATCTCTCGATGTGTGGGATCGTGGATGCGCACTGCTGAGGAGTCCCATGCTGGGACGAAACGGCCGTCCAGTGCTTGGGGGTTTTCCATGGTGGTCTAGCTTCAACTGACTCATGATTTCAACAAGTGAAATATAATAAATAGTGTAAAATTTGTGAAAAAAACATAAATGTAACAAAATTATGATGATATTTTGGTCACAAAAAGTAAAATCACAGCAAAAAATTATAGAAGTATATGTGGAATTTAACGCAAATCTGTCATAAAAGCATATGCAATTCAGCCAACCAACATGTGCATAATGATTCAAAGGCACCGAGAAAATCATTTTATAAACTTACTTGTATCCATCTTTGATTTATCCACTGTAGGAGAACTGTCTGTGAGTGGTGACGAGGCTAGATCAGTGTAAAAATATGCCAACAAAACAGAAACTTTTAATCAGTTTGTGTACAATGAGGTGATGCATATATTTCACTCGATTTCACGACATCATACATAACATTGTATGTCACTAACAACACCATTTGTTAATTCCCTCATGAAATTTCGACATACACATTTTACCGACTATATTTACGTTTATTTTGTTCACTTAAACTTATGTCATTAGAAAGTTTATTTGTTATCCACTTTTACTTGGTTGCTTAAATTTAATCGTATATAGATTTTAAGTTTTACATTATGAAAAATTATCTTTAAAGTTTTCCGTCCCCCCATTTGTAGATATTGTAGAATCTTGAAATAGGAAACCAAATTTTGTATCTATAATCTATTTAGGCTAGCTTATGTACAATAATAATGACACTATTTCATTACCTGACATCCAAAAACACGAACACTGTGTATATACTATTTATTCATAAATCAAAGAATGTTGGATAATAATCTCACAATTGAATTATATGGTTATTCATAATAATTTCTAACAAAACCTTACTACAAAATTAAGTTTTAAAATGATATGAATTAATCTAATTAGTTGTTTTGATCAAATTTCTCATTTATGTCTTAGTTACTAATGAATTGAAAAAAAAAACAATACTGAGTTTGTAAACACATTTTATAATCAAATTAATTAATCAATCAATATCTATCTATCTATTTTGAATTCTTTCGCTGAGATTTTACAAATCCATACTTTCTCTTTAATGTCTCAAATCAACTCAGCAACCAGATACTGTGAAACTATTCGATCAAATTTAGACAAAAGTCCTTATGTAATGCTTGTAAATTAAGGCAATATCGAGGCATATGCACAGTATGCACATATGCCAATAAGAGACTGATCAATTTCAGTCCAAAAACATCAATGGGAAGATTCATGTAAAACAATATCAAGTGAATTAAACTTCAACCCATTGCACAAGCAAGTGGCTATCAGGACTCAGTAGCTAAATGGATAACGCGATGGCGTTTGAAGCGAACGGTACTGAGTTCGAGTCCCAGAGTGAACATCAACTCTGAGATGCAGGCACATCCAGCTGACGAGTCCCAAACAGGACGAAACGCACGTCCTATATTCCACTGCTAGCCACTATCCATCTTTGCTTATAATGCTTATAAATTAAGGCAATATCGAGGCATACGCACAGTATGCACATATGCCAATAAGAGACTGATCAATTTCAGTCCAAAAACATCAATGGGAAGAGTCATGTAAAACAATATCAAGTGAAGTTCTTGTATATAGTTTGAATTTAGGTATATAATTAAACATAGAACATGTTATATCATGTAAAATATCATGGTATAAATGTAATAATAATGACATAATTTATTGATTTATCATTACTATTATTATTATTATTATGGTTCCATTTTATAAATCAACTTACAATTAGAATTGATCCTGATATAATGTAAAAATAATATTGTTGATGCTATCAATCCACATACTGTACAGAATACATAAAGAAATATAAGATATTTTTGTAATTTTGTTAATTTCTTAAATGACATTTTATTTTTTCAATTTGATAATAATAATAATTTATTTATTGTAAACCTTTTTTATTTATATTAATTAATGAATTGAATGGATCAATATTTATAATTTAATTGTGAAGAATAATCTCAGACAAGATCAACTTTAATATTAAGGTCATTTGATTGGAAACAAATAATTGTTTTTCTTTTCTTTTCGTTATCTTCTTCTTTTTTCTTTTTTTTCTATGTAATATGATTAAGAATAGAATTAATATAATAAATTTATATAGTATAACTCATTTTTTAAAAAAAAAGAAATTCATTATCTTGACAATAAAGAATTTCTAATAGCCTTGTGTCTGGGTTATTTAGTAGACCATCTTATTCAAAAACAAATTATTGAATAAGAATATTATTACAAATGATAGACTAATTAATTAAAATAAGTAAATATACTGTTGACCGGATATTTGAATTGATATGATTATGACTTATATTATTTATTATTTATCATGTGATATGATCGTCAATTACAATACGGAATTACACGATTTTGGCCCTATGCCAAATCAATGATTTGTTAACTAGCATGAACAACCTAGAGTCAATTCTGAGTCCTTATTGATTCTTATTACTTTGCATTGCCTGTTGAGTGCAGAACACAATTTCAACTTCTATTGTATTTTTTTTTATTATTATTATTAGAAGCTTAATTCAACATTATATTTTTGGTACAACATAGAATTCTCAGCATAAACTATTTCAACAAGTTTCCTTTTCTTATACCTTGATCGATTGTGACGATAAATTTTGAATGATGACCAGTTAGATGTTAGGAGTTCGGTAATCCACATTTGATTAATGTTCATTCGTTTCAATGCATATTGCCGCCCACCATGATGTCGCTGATTGTACCTTTATGTATCCCGTATAGCGAAAGGTTGTAAACTTTTCATAAACGCGCCTGAATAGATTGTGTGCACAATAGACATAATGATGTGCTAAAACAAACAATAAAACAGATAACTTGATGAAATATCTAGATCGGAGGAACAGGTAGTCCAGATATTCAAGCAGGCCGCCTTCATATATTTCAGACATACGTAGTATATGTGCATGCAAATCAGACCTCATCACACCATAGAATAAAAAAATAATCATTATACAAGATCAGACTGAAAGTGTCTGTGATTGTGAGATAGTGTAACTAATAGATTGGAAATAATTTGAGAATGATAAATCGTATGATAGTAGTCAATAGATCAAATGAAAGCTTACGATAAGAGAAACACAAATAGATATAATCTAATTACTTAATAGTTATAGAATAAGAATATATTCATAAATAATTCTTAGCCTCGACCATTCGTCTATTTGTTATTAGGATATAACACATATCAACTTTATTTAGTGTTTTTTTCATTGTAAACAAGCACACATTTTATTGCCGTGTGGTGTATGCTACTTATGTCGTTGGACATAAGTAGTATGTAACACCAATCTAACATGGAAGGCCTGGCAACAGAAGTTTGAGATGATGAAATTGAAGAAGACGGAAATGTAAACAGAGATTAATAGCGATGAAAGAATGATAAAGTTTGAGACACTTGATGGAAGATTTGCAAATGAAGTATTTAATATATGGTTTTCACATTTTATGAAACAAATTCGTAACTTTGTATCATTCACTTCAAGTGAGATGATTCTTAGCAAGCATATTGAATGTTGTGTTGGGAATTAATAAGTGTATGAAATTAGTGTTATAGGGGTGCATTATGGATTATGAAATTTTAAAAATATTGGCAGTTAATGTGTAATATATACAATATAGAGTCACCTCGTACTTGAAACAAACACCTTGATTACTCATCAAAAATAGACTAGTTAATTAATATAAGTGAATATATGACAAACAAATACTTGTCAGAGTTTAATTAAATGGTCACGTTCGGATGTCTCTGTAATATCTCAGCTTTATGTTAATCAATGAAGAGCATTATTGATATTTTAAATGTAGGTAAGTTTGATCAAAATACGTTTAAATGAATTAGTGTTAATCACTAAAACTCTACATATAGACATCAAAATTCTCACTAGTTTTAATTCACTTAGTAGCAGTATAAACTGAACATTGAGATAAGTGTTCAAAAGCTATTTTACACTGTTATAGGTTTTCATATAAACAGTCTTGAAGGTATTATTAGAAAAATTAAGTAATACCTCATAGAAATCTAGCTGTAGGTTACTGAGCTTGTAGCTAGAACTCCAAAACTATAGACATAAACTAAGACTTACATTTCTATCTCTTAATCGAATCATCAATCAAACATTCTCCTCTCCCTTCAGTGAACCAAAACAATAACAAAGGATATACAATGTAAATATCGTAAGCGGATTTGCTATTTCGAATCTTATCATCGCCTACTTAGTGTTCAGTAGGATAAGTGATTCAACATTATGCCATTAAAGAAGCATCTATTAATTTATACTTGGATGAAAAGTGACATTTACAATGATCTTACTTTGAAAAATATCTTAGAGATTGTCTATATTCATGAAACATAAAAGTGAAAATTTTGTTCCGAATTCAAATTAATGCCAGATATATCGACTTATTTTGTGCGAAAAGTCTTTTAATGGCCCAGTTAGATCGGAAGAATAATGGTTATTGAGTGATTGCTGTCGAAATATACATCCTGGCTATC